AGGAGGAGGAGGAGGAGGAAAGGGGGGTAGGAGGTAAGATGACAGCACGAGGAGAATTGATCGCAAGGGTGAGGAGGAAAAGAAGGAGGAGGAAGATAAATTTGAATGGGAGGAAGGACAGGAGGAGGGGGAGTAAAAGAAGGAGCTAGGATAGGAGGGGCGAAAGTAGGAAGGTTAGGAGGAGGAAGACTGGAGGTGGAGGGGAGCGAAAGGAGTAGGTGGAGGAGCAGGAAGAGCGATGGTAGAAGTGGGGGAGTGGGGCAGGAGGAGGAGGAGAGTGATGGGCGAGGATAGGAGGAGGAGGAGGGTGACGAGCGAGATTAGGAGGAGGAGGAGGGTGATGAGCGAGGATAGGAGGAGGAGGAGGGTGATGAGCGAGGATAGGAGGAGGAGGAGGAGGGTGATGAGCGAGGATAGGAGGAGGAGGAGGAGGGTGATGAGCGAGGATAGGAGGAGGAGGGTGATGAGCGAGGATAGGAGGAGGAGGAGGGTGATGGGCGAGGATAGGAGGAGGAGGGTGATGAACGAGGATAGGAGGAGGAGGGTGATGAGCGAGGATAGGAGGAGGACGTGGAGGAGAAGAGAAACAGGACAATATACATTACATCTTCCGTAATTTAAAATTTAATGTAGGTGTTTTACCCCACCATCAATACAACTTAGATCATTTAGGAGGCGGGCCTTCAACCCTTCCTACCAGGGCCAACCTGGGCAGAGAGGAATACTATAATAATATACCAGGAGAAAGACCGAACTGGTTGATAATTTATACATTCTACACACTCGAGTATACATCGAACTGGGGTCTACTGCGCGCAAAAGCGAAGTGCCTAGCCGCTACAAAAAAAGACGCCTTTAAGCCTTCTGTGAATGCAGCAGAACGATAAAACGTCACGGGATTTTTCCTTTTTATAGATATAAGAACGTGTACCGTGACCCAGAACAATCTACTTCCTAGTTGATATCGTCATGTTTTCTATACATACAGCACCTACTGTGTACACATTCAAGACCGTTCCTTTCCAGGGGGTGGCAGTTTTGAGTGACTGGTGTCGTCTGTGCCCCTGTGTCTACAGAAGGGAATTCTATCGGTGGGATTTCACTGTTTTGATACAGTAGCCTTCTACTTCTAGTTGGTGTAAATCCTGTGTTTTTTACTGACGAATGAGGTCAGATTAGTAAGAGTATTTTCCTTTCTCATGGAGAGATAAATAGATAGATAGATAGATATATAGATAGATAGATAGATAGATAGATAGATAGATAGATAGATAGATAGATAGATAGATGGATAGATATAGATAAATAGATCTAGATCGATAGATAGATAGATGATATAAGAGATGTCGGGAAAGTAAGGATATTCTGCACTATAAAAGCCAGTGATTGCCCCCCCCCCAACCACCACCCCAAAACACACACATACACACACATACACACACACACACACACACACACACACACACACACATACACACACACACACACAAACACACACGCATATGATCTATAAACGGTGACAAACTACAAACCATACTCCTTGTTGTTGCCAAAGTACGTGTTACTCCTTAGAGTGTTATAAATAGATTCTTGTCTGCACCACTGTACAGTATATACGTGGTGTCTATGCCGATCATGCCGGGTCGGGTGAGGACGAAGTGGCGGCTTCTGTAACAGTGCACACGACGAATAGACCATGTTGAGTCAAATCTAACAAGCTAAAGAAAACTTGGACCGGAGCGTGGTGTTATT